GCCTGCCCCCGTCCCCTCGGCCTCTGCCGACCTGAATGACGCTTCCCCTAGACCCGGGTTTCTCTGCGGGGGCAACGGGGCTCCCCCAGGGACATGTGGCAACGTCTGAAGGCTGGAGGAGGAGGAGGAGGGCCACTGGTTCCTTCATCACACGGGACAGCCCCTCCCCCCCCAAACCCAGCAGTGTCGAGGGTGGGAAACCTGCCCAGTCTCGAGACAGCTGATGACAGATCCATAACCCTTGGGGCCGTCTCGCGTGATCATGGTGCGCCTGAGACTTTTGGCTGCAGGGGTGTCAGGTAGTGGCATCAAAATCTGGGAACCCCCATAGGCATATCCTTGATTTTCTTCCCCCAATTGCTCCTCCTTCGGCCTTACCCCTTTGGATGTGGGGCCACGACCTGGCATAGCCCCCAAATCTGGCTATCACCCTTCATCCCTTGCCTGCCTACAGCCTTGCCTCCACTTCCCCCTGTCTGCTCTGCTGTTTAGCCCAGGCTGCCGTCGGGTCACCTGCAGCCACGTCCAGATGTGTCCTGCATGGCCCCTGCCTCCTGGAATCTCCACGTGCAGCTGGAGGGTCTTTTAAAAACATAACTCAGACCACCTTTCCCCCCTGCCTCGAGCCCCCCACGGCAGAGACCTGTAAAATAGCAGGGGTTCCGGCCCTGGCCTCAGAGTCTTGCTGGCCTCCCAGTCCCTCTCCTTCTCCCCCATCCTCACCGGGGGGCTCTTTTGTGGCAGGGGCCTCGGCTTGCCCCCGCCAATTTCTGGAAGGCTTGCCCTCAGCTCTTTTTTGTGGTTCAGGTTTGGGCTTAAACATGCCCGTCCCTGAGCTCCCCCTGTCCCCTCGACTGCCCGGCAGTGGCTCCAGCCCCTCCCCACAAACACCCTTGCTGTTTCCATCAGGACACAATCAGCGCCCAGAAGCGCCAAGTCCCCTGTGAGAATGTCGGTCCCAGGAGAGCATGGACCTGTCTGTCCCGTCCACAGCTGTGACCAGAGCTCCCCATGTCTGACACGGGCCAGGTGCTCAGCGAGCATGTGTGGAATGAACGAATGAATACAAGCGTGCCCGGCGGGCAGGTGACTTGCAGCCCGCGCGTGTGTCTCAGCGGAGACAAGGTTAGAACCACTGAACTCAGTAATCTCAAAGGCTTCGAGCTGGAGAAAACCCCCTCCTCCTGCGTGAGTGTTCTGTCAGGCCAAATTGAACCGGATTCAACCTGGAAGCTATGGGGCAGGGACCCTCTGGGGCTTGTGTGGCAGAAAGTCAGAGATGGGAGGAATGTTCCAGGTTATCCAGGCCCTGTTTTCAAATGAGGAGACAGAAAAAGCCCACCAGGGCTGTCATCTGAGCACACTGCCGCTCCTGTCTGGCAGTGCCATTCTTTGCCTCCCTCCCTTCTGAGCCCCTGGGCCAGGTGACCTGAAGCCCCTTCCTATCATGTACTTCTGTGACTGTGTTCTGGAAATCCTCAGCGTCTGGGCTGTCTGTGGAGACTGATACAGGGATTTGATTGGAAGACCTGCTGTTTTCCTACGGAGTTTTTCCTGAAACCCCTGACATGGGGGTCCTCCAAAGCTGGCTCAGTGGTGGCACCATTAAGTCAGTCTCCAGGCTGTGGTCCCCCTAGACCTCCAGCTTCTCCTCACCAAGTCAGCTAGCTCCAGTTAAAGAAAGAAAGGAGTAAAGAACAGAGGAGGGTAGAGAAGAGATGGAGAACAGAGCAGTAAAGGAAGACACATCTGAGAAAGGGCCAGAACCCTCCAGAACCCCTTCCAGAACCACTGGAGAATGACCACTAGTGATGGAGCGTGTGCAGGAAGGGAGAACACCCCACTATGGACTACGTGATTGTATTCCCCCAAATTCCTATGTCAAAGACCTAGTCCTCAATGCGGACAACGGTATTTAGAGACAGGACTTTGGAGGTAATTAGGGTTAGATGAGGTCATGAGGGTAGCAGGGTCCTCATGATGGGATTGTCGTCCTTATAAGAAGGGACCGAGAGCCAGCTCCCTCTCTCCAGCCCTCACCAGGAACCGAATCAGCCAGCGCCTTGCTCTAGGACTTCCCAGCCCCCAGAACCAGGAGCAGTAGGATCTGTTGTCTGAGCCACCCAGTCTGCCGTATTTTATTAAATCAGCCTGTACTGACTATATCAACTCCCCCTTACCTGCCCCTTCCCAAATCCGTGTGAAAAAAGGATGGAAATAAAGAATTTCCCCCGAGCAGCGGAAAGCAGAGCCCCTACGGTCAACCTGAGCTGTGATCTGGACAGCGGACAGCGATGCTCAGGAGCTGTGAATGTCTTAATCCTCATTTTCTACACCGATAAAAGGCAGATAATTAATATTTACCTTGAAGTGTTGTTGGCAATTACATGAACTCATGTGAGTCTTGCGTGAAGGTCTTCAATAAGCGATGGCTGTTTGTATTAACACCGGGGGCAAAGGAGGGCCCGAGGGGGAAGTGATTAGCAGGTGGCCCTCAGCGCAGCGGAGGCAGAGTGCCTATTCGGGTGGCTGACCCCCACCTGGGCTCGAATGAACAGGCTGCATATGGGTCACCACAAGAGAACATGAAAGCAAACACGGAGAGGAAGAGTGTCCAGCCCAGTGCCAGGGCTGGAGTGGGTGGAGAAAAGCCAGTATGCGCAGCAAGCCTCCCTGAGTGGTTCCAAGTTGGGCATGTGGTTTAGGGCAGAGCTTCTCGGCTGACCTGCCCTGACAGTTCCAGGTGTGCTGGAAGAGTGAGCCCCTGGGCAGGGCTTGGGCAGCTGGAGCCCCTCGGGGAGATGGCCAGGCTGTCCTCCCCTCCCACTCCCCTGGGGTACAGTGCTAAGATTTTCTTTTTTTTCTGAGTGACACGGTGTGAATAAAGGCTGGGTACACTGGTGTAGGGGGTGCTGCCCAGGTGAAGAAGGCGAACATGATGGAGGCAAAGGACTCCCTCACTCTCAGGTTCCAGAACCTTCTCTGTACCTTCCCCTGCAGTGCCCAGCACAGAGCTGGCACAGAGTAGGCACAGGGGCCACCCTTGGCATCAACGCTGCCATCTTAATGTTCTGGCAGAGCTGTGATGGGGACATGGGGGACATGGGACTGGACGGCACTGTTGAGGCCGAGCTTTGCCCAGACTGTCTGCTCTGGGCCCAGAGCCCCCCCCCCCATGGCAGCACAGTGACCAGCAGTCCCAGCAAGTGCTCCAGAGTTAGCGGTGGGTGTCGGGGCCTTGGAATGTGGGCTGAGTCTCCTCTTCCTCTCTGTGTCTACACAGGGTCTTCTGTCCCTGGCACACAGTTTGTTCACATGCTATACCTGCCCAACTCCAAAATGCATTAGAGACTGAACAAATGTTGGTTGATGATGACTTTGATTGAGAAAAGATTACCCTTTCCTATGTCCCCAACCCTGGCTGGGTGTCACCAAAGATACAAAGAATAAGATGAGGGTCTCAGGGAGACAGGGTTGGGGGCAGATGTTGTAGCAGGGACGGGCCAGTGCAGGACACAGTGGAAGGAGAGAAGAAAAAGAGACAGACAGAGACAAGCAGACACAGGGAGATCGAGAGACAAAGACTGAGAGAAAGAGAGCGAGACATAGACAAAGACAGAAAGAGAACAGAAGAGTGTGTTATGCAATTTGTGTATCAGTTGTGCATTCCCACTTCTAAATGCCTTCATGCCGCCGCCAGCCCGACCTCAGAGCTGGGCTCCACTGGGTAGTCAAGTACTTGGTTCTATTTTTAATGGCAACCCAGAAGCTGTTTGGGAAAAGGCAGGATGATATGGTGAGAAGAGCTTTGTAGTGAGACAAAGGCTCAAATCTGGCCCGGCTGCCCCCTACCTGGGTGCCTCTGGGCAAGTCCCTGAACCTCTCTGCACCTGTTTCCTCATCTGCAGATGGGGGTGAAGCCAGCGCCCTCACATGGCTGTCGTGGGCATGCCACGTGGTAACATGCACAAGCCTCTGCGCACTTGAATATTTTGACACTTTCCCAGCGAGGGGTGGGTAGCAGGGGAGACGCAGCTCAGGGGGGAGAGAGAGGCTGAGGCAGGGTCAGGCCTGGAGGAGCTGGGAGCAGCAGTCTCCACGCAGCCCTGCCAGTCTGCAGGGGCGCCTCAGGTACACCGAGGCTGGGCTCTCCTGGCCTGGCATCATTTACCGGAAACAACCAGGAAATGAATCCCCTGTTTTCGAGTTGCCAGCAGACCTTCAGGGTTCTGCTGTTGCATCCAGAGTTTTATTAGCTGCCTGCTGCAGTATCTGCTCAGTTTCAGCTCAGCTCTTTTTCTTTATCTTTTTTCCCCCCATTTTGGTTTGGACATAATGTTTTGGGGTATGGTGTAAGAGAGCAGGTGGAAATAATGCATTTTACACACAGAAGTCAACATGGAGGTAACCCTCCCTCCACACCCCCGGGGGAAGGAACTGGGGTTACGGTGCTGCCCGGGTCTCAGCCCCGGCCACTTGCTAACAGGTGGAAGCATCGTAGGTGGTATCGCACAGCTGAGAGCTGCTGCTCTCCGGATGTGCGTTTATGAGATAAACAGGCAGTTCCCACCCAGGCTGAGGGACTGTCACAATGATTGCAACCACAACAAGGAACCTCGAACCGGCTCTCCCAGCCCTGGGTCCTAGGAGGATGTTCTGGCCCTCAGATGTGGCCTGGTTTGCCCCCCAGAGCCCCTGAGCTTTGGGAAATGAGACAGAGGCAGCCCAGTTCTCTCTGTGAAGTCCCCCAGATGGCTCCCTCTGCCAGCAGAGCCAGCTGCCCAGATCAGCCTGAGGCTCTCTTGATGAACACCGGAGTGCAAACGGCTCGAGGCAGCTGGCAAGATGCTAAGTGCAGCATTAATCCTAATTAGGATGAAGAATTAATAAAGAGGCCAGGCTTGCCGGAGTAGAGGAGTTAGTTCCAATTTCCCCTGGGAAACTGGAAGGCCCCAGGTCCACGTGTGCCTTCGGGTGGCGCCGGTGGTGGCGTGACTTACCGCACCGGGCAGCTGGCACCCGGTGGAGCTTGTGAGGGAGAACACAAGGGCACTGCAGCCCCTGCTCTGCATCCGACTCAGGTGCTGTGGCAGGTAGTGACGTGGGTACATTCTCCAGAGGAGAGGAGTAGGTGTTCGTGATCTGAGCAATTGCACACCAAAAAATGATGTTTTTCAAAAGGAAAGAGGAGGGTGTGATCATGGGCCCACCGGCTCCTTTGTGTGGCTGTTTCCCCAACTACTGATTGCACATTTCTGTTACCTGAAGACTCCACTGAGCCCTGGCATTAAGCTCCAGGTTGCAAAGGGCAAAGCAGCCCCGTTTGGGAGTGGGTGTGGGAGCCAGGGGTGAGCAAGGTTCCCCACCAGAACCAGTGTGGTCTGGAGGCGGGGGAAGGGGGACGTTCGACTCGCCAAGCAGACCCAGCTTCACAAAGCCTCTTTTCAGATGACTCCAAATGCGGCCAGAAAAGGGCTATCGTTTAAAGAGCTCCCTCCAACCTCCACCCAGATCCAACCTCGCTGGAGGATCTGCAGGGGCCGCAGCTGCGGCGGGAAGGCTAGGTATAAGAAGGAACTTCCCGAAGAACTGAGGGGCGGAGTTAACACACGGGAAAAGGTGACAGAAAGAGAGGAAATTCTGTCCAAGGATTTTTGAAAAATCAAAGGATCTCTCCACCAACTCCCACCACCCAGCCCCCAGTCTGAGAGCCAAGACCAAGCAGCACGACCTGGCCGGGACCAGACGGCCCCTCCGCAGCCACCTGTTAGTTCAAGTTCCGCAGCTGGGCGGGAGGGCGCCCGGAAGGCGCTGAAGCTGCGCGCATCCCCGCGTCGGAGGCGTCCGGGCCCCTCCCCGAAGGAGCCGACAGTGGGGGACCCAATCCGCGCTGCAGAGGCAACCCAACCCTACCGCACCTCCAGCTCGGCCTCAGGGCGCTTGGGGGGTCGCAGCGCCCCGCCCCGACGGACGACCACGCCCCTCCCAGGCCGGTCCCCGAACTCAGCTCGCCCCAGGCACCCCAGAGTCCCGTGGAGGTCTCCGCAGCTTCCCTGCCCAGGGGCCGCGACCCAGGGCTCGCCGCCTCAGTTGGGGGAGACTCCGGGTCGCTCCCCTCACCCGTCCCCCACTGCGCCGGGAGGAAGGGCCGGCGGCCCCGAGGAAGAACGGGCGGGCGTTGGGCTGGGGCGACCAGGCTCCCCCAAACTCCCTCGAGCCAAGCCCCCATCCCCGCCCCCAGCCCTGCGCCCGGCCCGGAGCGAGCGCCGAGCGGCCCCGGCGCGCCCCGCCCCCGGTCGGCCCCGCCCCAGGATGGCCAGTTCCCATAGCAATCGCACAGACACCGGTTGCCAAGCAACCCCTCCCCCTCCTCCCTCCCCTCCTCTCGGGTCCGCTCCCCCCAAACCCCAGCCTCCTCCCGCCCCCTCTCCAGCCTCCACCTCCCCCGGGGGCGCCGGCGCGGCCCCTGGGGATCTCTGGGGTCCTGGGCTACGCGCGCGCGCGTGAGTTTCGGTGTGTTTCATTGTGTCTGCGGGCGAGGGGGTGTGCGTGTGCGAGTGGAGAGTTTGTGGGATCGGTGTGTCGGGGAGGTCCCCAACCGGGAGGGACGCGAGTTGGTGCACAGCTGGCTGCTAGGGGACCCGCCCGTCCGCTCCGGCTCTTTGTGTCTCGCGCGGAGCCGGCGCCGCGCCCACCCCCTCCCCGGCCCGCGCCCGGGCTGTGCGTGTGTGTGTCGGGGGGAGGGGTCGGGCCGGCCGTACCTTCGATGCAGCACACCCGCCACAGCCCCGAGTGGGTGAGGTCGCCGCGGGCGCGGCGGGGCGGGGGCCCGTCGTCCATGGTCAGGTTGGTGCCGTTGCAGATGTGCGCGCTGGAGTAGAGCCAGTAGTCGGTGCCGATGGCGATGGCCATGAGCGAGAAGGCGGCGAAGGCTCCGGCCGTGGTCAGCAGCATCTGCAGCCCGCGGTCGCATCGCACCATGGTGGGGCCCATTAGTCCGGCCGCCCGGCCGCGCCGCCCGGCCGCGCCGCCCGCCCTCCTCCCTCCGCGCGCCGCTCCCGGGCGGCGCTGGGCGAGGCGGCGGGGCGCGCGCGCTGCGCGGCTCGACCCCGCGGCTCGGCGCGCGGGCTCAAACTCCCCGAGGCGCGGCGCAGTGCGGCGCGCGGCCGCCGGTGGCTGGCGGCGGCGGCCGGGGCTCCTCCCTCTCGCCCGCCCTCCCCGCTCGGCCCGCGCCTCCGCCCGCGCCCTCCGCGCCTCCCCCGCCGCCGCCGCCCCGCGCTCCGGCCCGCGCCCGCTCCTCTCGGCGCCGCCCCTCGCGCCTCGGCCCCCGCCCGGCCCGCGCTCCCCGCGCTCCGCTCTCCCCCAGCCCGGATTGCGCCCCGCCCGCTCCCTCCCCGCGCTCGCGCGCGCTCTCTTCCTCTCCCAGGGTTCATTCACATTATTAGAGCGAAGGAAGCCAAGGCAAGGGTTCCCCAGGAGGACCGAAGGGAACTGCATCTCCAGCCACCTCTCTAACCCAACCCAGGACACCCAGCCTCCCCTTAGACGGCCCTGGGAACCCTTTAATGTGCGCGGTGGGGTGTGTGAGTGGCGGAGGTGGGAGGATGTCCCTCATGTTCCCTTGCACAGATATGTGTCTTTACCTGGCCAGAAAGGTAGAGGCGTGAGTGTGGGCGTAAGTGTTCTGGCCAGATTTCCAGAAGCCCCAGATGTGGGTCACAGCTGGGAGACACAGCAAGCCAAGCCAGGCCCCGGCCATCCCCTTCCCAACCCAGGTGGCTCCTGCCTGGGCCAGCTCTTCCTGACCTCCTCACAGGGCTGGGAGGACCCTGGCTTTGAGATTGAGGGAGAAGGGGGCTGTCAGAGAGAGGTCTTTGGGGGACAGCATAGGATCCCTGCTTTCTAGAGGGGTGGTGAGGTTGGCAGTGAAGACGGGGCTCTCCTCCGTGATCACATTTCTGGAGGTGCATTACTGCTAGAGCCCAGCAATGCCCCGGTTGTATTAGATTCAAATATTTCAGTCCCCAGCGTTTTCCTTCTTCTTCATACCCTTATTTCGCTTTGCCTTTCGCTCTGCTCTACTCGAGCTTAAGTGGCTTTCCCTCACCTCCTCCCCCTTATTGCCAGCCTCTACCCTAAGCCATGCTGGCTTCACTTAATTGCCTTTGCTGCTGGCATGATCCCAACCTGGACTCCCTCCCTTCTTCTGGGAGCCAGTCCAGGCTCCTCCTCCTCCACGACCCAGCTCCAAACCCTTCCCTCCAGGAGGCTCTCAGACCAACAGCCCGAGGTCCAGCGGTCCTGGACTTCACACCTCCTTTGTGGCACCTTCTCTGGCCCCTGATCCCCAGAGAGTCGCTGTTCTCTCTCCCACTGGATTATGAGCCTTTCCTGTGTCTGCCATTTATGGCAAGAGCTTAACAAGTGTTTGCTGAGAGGTGTTTCTTGCCCCCTGGAAAATTATAGCCTGATAGGGAGGAATAGATCCTATAAATAAAAGGGAAAAAACATCACAAGGACCAGACTGGCTGCATCAATTAGCATTTGTTGGCCTCTTCAACCTTTGGGGTATCTATTCTGCCTTTCAAGTCGAAAAGGACAAAGGTCATCACCTCTTTTACTTTTACCCACTTGCCGCCTAGTCTGGTGTTCTGCACACAGCAGGTGCCCAATGTGTGTCTGAGTGGATCGGAAGGTGTGAGATGGCTTGCTCTGGCTCAGAACAGGGCTGCCCACCTCTGTCCCTAATATCCACAAGGATTAAGTCTAGGTTCTGTTCTCAGAAGCTGCCGGAAAGATGAATCGTAAGCTTTTCTTTTCTTTCTTTTTAGGATCAAATTCTTGTTTCAAATAATATCATAAATGGAAGCCCAACATAAATAAACCAGGTCTCCTACCAGTGAGCCCTGTAGGTAAGAGCCGACACTGCTCCAGTTGAATGAGTACTGCTATCCATCCACCCACACCACCCCCTGCAGCCCACAGAGCACCTCTGTGGACCTCGGGTTCCATGAAACATGGTGTCAAAACTGACATCCTGAGCTGGTTACTGGGGTTACTTAGGAACATTCCCTCCATCCCATCCTCCTTGCAACCTTCCTCAAGGACTTTGGGAGAAACAAATGGAAGTGAGACACATGAATCTGATGCTCAGGGAGTGGAGAGCTGTAGCTTCCCCCAGTCTCCTATTAGGTAAGGGAGATATCAGGTAGGTGGTGAGACCCTCCTCCAGGCAAGCAGTCCTCATGTTAATCCCATGGGAGACAAAACAGACCTCCCCATTCATCACAGCTATAATAGACCAGTTCTCACCCCTCCACTCTCAGAGGAGCGTGTGGGAGAGTTGAGAGAGCACTGGACTGGGAGCCCAGACAGTCACCATCTGGTGCTGGCTCCAGGACTAACTGTCAGGGTGATCTGGACAAGCCAAAACCACCAGGGAGGAAGACACCTCTTTAGTGCACCTCTCAGAGTTTTTTGAGGGTCAAGAAAGCCTTGCACATTGCATGCACTTAGCAGCATTTGTGGAATGAGTAGTAAATGCTGCCTGTTCTACCTTTTTTTTTTTTTTTGAAACAGTGAGCCTAACACTGTCTGGGGGACATATATTACATTCACTGTTTGTTCTTTTTAAGATTTTTTTATTGCTCTCCTTTTTGTTTGTTTGTTTGGTTGGTTTATAGATGATGTTTCGCTCTGTTGCCCAGGCTGGAGTGCAGTGGCTTGATCATAGCTCATTGCCTTGAACCCGCAGGCTAAAGTGATCATCCTGCCTCAGCCTCCCCAGTATCTAAGACTATGGGCACATGCTGCCATGCCCAGCCCTGTTTTAAATTTTTGTAGAGATGGGGTCTCACTCTGTTGCCCAGGCTGGCCTGGAACTCCTGTGATCAAGCGACCCTCCCACCTCTGCCTCCCGAGTCTCTGGGATTACAGGCGTGAGCCACTGTGCCCAGATACATCCACTATTAAATCTCACTCTTACCCCTGACACCTGGGGAATATGAGATGCAGAGAAGTTGAGTAACTTGCTCAAGATTTCACACCTGGAAGACGGTGGGGTCAGATCTTAGCTCAGGTCTGGGTGACTTCAAGGCCAGAGTTTCTAAAAGATGCTAAACAGCCTCTCGGCCATTGTCAAGTACTGCTTGGCTGTGTTGTTGTTAATTACCTGTTCATCCGGGGGACCCCAATGGGGGCCTGGCAGTCTGCTGCTCTGTTTGTGGACACCCAGCTGACAGCCATGCTGGGCCTTGAGGTTGTGAAGGTGTAGACTGTGGAGTCAAATAAGGACTTGACCGCAGGCAAAGGGAGCTGGCACAAACCCAAGACTGTCTGAGACCATTCATCATGCCTGGGTGAGCACAATTTAAATCTGGAAACTTCTGCTCAGCCGGATTAGAGAATTCTAAATGACAGTATTTAACTGCTGCCTGAGGACCCTGGAGTTTCTCCCGTGTGACACTTCCAGATTTGAGGGAGGGCTGTGTCCTTGCTTTGCTCAGGTGGAAGCTCTGGACTGGTCTTGCTCTGGAGAAACTGGACATTTGACATCTTTTCCCAGGGAGCTACCTGGTATAAATGTTACTTTTCAGGCAGGGGACAAGTGATCACTCATACTGTCCCCTCTCAGGGCAGCTGAGAGGGTGGGAGTATTTGCCAGTCCCCTGGATTAGTCCTCCAAAACCGTCTTGTTCCACATGAGGCGGTTTCTTTCCCCCTCGCCGGGTCATTGGGGTAATTCCGCAGTTCTTCACTTTACCTTGGCTGTGGAGACAGAGCCTTAATGAGCTCAGAAGCCCGGACAAGCCCAACTCCAGGGTGCAGTAGCCGGGCAGCGGCCGTGGGAGAGGACACAGCGTCAGGGTGCTGACGCCACATAACGTCACGTGCACGTCAAGGTGGCCGGGCAGGCTGCCCCTGCTGTCGGGGAGGAGAGGGGACAGGCTTGGGGACATAGTCGCTCCCTGCCGCAGCTCTGAAAGCCTTTATTAAAAAGCTTCCTTTTCCCCCTTTGTCCTCTAGAAATCACGACCTTGTGTGGCAACTTTTGTAATATCTCATTTCCGTGCCCAGAGCAGATGGTTCTGGTGATTTCAGAAGGCTTAGTGAGGGGATTTGGGGAGCCTGGTGATATCGCAGGTGAATCGACACAAAGAGCGATTTGGGGTTTCTATAGCCCAGGGCTGGGGACGGTCTCTGAAGCTTCCGGGGCTTGGCTCGGCGTGGAGGCTTATCTGCAGCCCAGCCAGGCCGCGGCGTCCGAGAAGCATGCCCCGAGACCCGGGTGCCGACAGCCTCCCCTCCGTGAGATGGTGCACGCTGCAAGGATGACTTCCTCTTTTTCTTCATCTTTCAGTGGGTCCCTTTGAGGGACAGCGCGGATCAGAAAATGCTGCTTGGGTTTATGTATTCAAGTTTATTCCATTTCCTTTGCTTATCTCCGATGGCCCATTCACGCAAGGTGATGGAAGCTGGGTCCAGAGCATTCTTTTCCTAGCTCGGCCGCAGTGAAACGGTGGCCGCTGGAAGTGCAGGGGAAGGGACGCAGCATTCAGTGGGTGCCCTCTGGGTGCCAGTCGCTTCATATACCCCGTTTCAGTGAATCATAACAGCCACCGTATAAGGTGACGCCTTTGCCCCCATTTTGTGGATGATGAACTTGCGGCCAATCAGAGGGCAAGTGTCTGAGCTAGGACTTGAACCCAGCTCTGCCTGGAGCATAGCCAGGCTCTGTCCCTTGCTACTCAGCATCCCACACCCCAGAGGGTGCAGAGGCCACTCTGCCCACTTCTGCCTTCTCTCCATATTTACCCAAATGGAATCAAGTTCAAATGACTGTCCAAGTCATACATATGGGAGTGGAAAGGTTAGGAAAGAGCTGCACCTTGCCAGCCAGTGGGGTGGACTAGACTCTCCATTTCCCAGGCAGGTAGGGGTTGGCTGATGGCAGGTGCTAGAAGCCACCGGCCTTGGGACCTCCCCCTCCCCCTCCTCCCTCCTGGCTCCCACGCCCCATGCCCACATTGGTGGTGGCCCAGAGCAGAGGGCACAAGGCCAGCCCCGAGCGCAGGTGCCCTGCAGCCCCTCTGAGACTCCTCTGGCCCCTGGCTGCTGCCCTCTCCTGGACATTTTCCATTTCCTGTCGGTGGGAGGAGCCCAGCGCCCAGCTGTCTGTGAAACAGCCAGCACCCCGTGAACGGTGGGTGACGTCTGTGTGGGCTGATCCAGGCCCGCGTGGATCCCGCGAGGGGCTGTGCCGGGCGGCTGTGCCGGGCAGGGTCTCCCCCACTAGAATGTGTTCCAGAACCAGCCACGTGGATGAGCATGTTGACATGAACAGCCTGGCTTGGCCGAAGCTTCCGGCCCAGCACGCTTGAGAGTTAGCTGGTTATTCTGAGAACACTCTTTTCAAAACACTCTACAGGACAAACAGGCCGAGAGGTTCCTTTGTCCACAGCCAGCCTCTGAAACTGAGCCGGCTGTCAAAGGGTTGAGAAGGACTCCGAGGAAGAAACCATCTGCGCTCAGAGGCCCGACGTGTTTGAAATGGGGGTGCGGGAGGCGGGTAGGGAAGGTGGCCAGTGACAGCGCACTCTTCGACGAACGTGTGTCATTCGTGCTTTCACCGAAGCAGAGCTTTTAATTCCTAAAATATAACGGCCCTGTGCAGGGGCTGGAGGCAGGGGAAGCGTTTTAGGTGCAACTTTGCAGCTAAGTGCCTGGCTGCTGAATGAAAGGTTTGGCTCAGGGAAGGTCCCAGTAGTGTCGCCTTCAGAACCACACCTTCCCTTTCATCTCCCGCCTCCCTCTGCTCTCACCTGTCTGCTGGGGGAGGGGGTGGGTCGCTCCTGGCCCTCTGGGAGCTGTGCTTGCTGCTGGGTGGGAGGCTTGGCTTAATAGTGCAGATGTCTTTCTGGATCTCGGCTACCAATCCACTCTGCACTCTGCCTCCTCCGTCCGCTCCATTCCTGCTCGCTTTTTTTTTTGTCATTGAAGAGCTGCTGGGTCTTTGTTCCTTTTCTCTCTAAGGCCTTTTGATGACAGGGAAAGGGGAGGTCATCAGATGCAGGCTGACCCTGGTTTTTGTCCTGCTTGGCCATCTGCCACTGTGCAGCCTCGGATGAGTGGCTGAACCTCTCTCCGTCCCAGCTAAATGGGGGACCAAACACTTGCCTCATGAGATCATTGTGCAGATTCAAGAAGCCCGGGGAAAACATTAATGCAAAAACGTCAATTGCTTGTATTTACTGAGCACCTCAAAGGTACCAACCTCCATTCCAAGTGCTTTGCCGTATATTAACTCGGTTGATTTTTTCCAAAATCCTTTAAGATGGGTACTAGTATTGAGCTCATTTTACCAAAGAGATGACGAAGGCCTGGAGAAGGTAAATCCATAACCCACGCTTATGATTTCTATGTAAATACATAATAAATAGTAGCTTTTGTTGTCTTGCTCTCAGACAATTAAGTTTAAGTTACTTGTTATCCTAATCTGCCAACAACTGATGTCACCAGACTCAAGCACCCTTTTTATTAGAAACCCATTAATTTATCCAATCCAGAAATATTGTTTCTTCTTTTCTAAGCAGGGCCTTCCCTGTTGGTTCATATTGTCCCCTGGAAATCTATGAATGTGGATCTTCTTGGTGATGAAGACATGATGAAAATCATTGCTGTCAATTGCAAAAACTCCTCTCTTCCAATTCTTCTCCTGTCCAGAGAGCTGTGGCAATGTGTGGTTCAGGAGAGGAACTGAGGTAAGTGACTGACTCTTTCCCCAGCCTTATGGTGGCCTTGTGGCACCTGCCCTCAGAGGGCAGTTGTGAGGTTTGAAGGTGGTGGTGGTGCCTGGCTGACCCAGGCAAAGTGGTTGAACATCAGCAGATGTGACTGGTACATGCACATAATACAAAATAAATATTTACTGCATGAACGAATGATGCCTCCAGGGCTCCAGGGGCCTCTTCCGGAGGTCTGCAGCTTCGCTGGGGTGTCTGCTCAGGTGCACCTGCTCCCTGGCATGACCGCGGCGCACCTTGGGGCCGTCTCCATTCTGCCTTGGCCCAAGGCTGCACCAAGAAGAGGGAATTTTCAGTCGCTCGCGTCTGGCTCCGCTCTCGGCTGAATCTGATAACACGCCATTTCCAGATAAACAGGGAATGGGAAATAAATTGGCTTCATAGAGGAGATATTTTAAATGCTCTAGATCCTCTAAAAATTCAAGGAGAAATATTCTTCGACTGGTGTCTTATCTGTAGGGAGTGCTGTCACCTGGGGCTGGTACTGTCCAGTGACTGAGCAGCCTCTGTACCGGGCGTGAGGCCCTGAGGCTGTTCTGTAGGTGAGGGGGGTGACAGGTCTGTGCATTCCTGGAACCAGCCGCCTGACCGCGGCCTTGGGCTGCCCTGCATACCCCAAATAAACACTCTCTTGTCCCAGGAGCTGGGTTTGGGATGGAATGTGATTAATAGCAGCTCTAATTTGTTGAACAGTTATAGGTACTGGGCAACTTATAACAACAACAACAACAAAAATGTTGTCCCCATTTTATAGATGATGCAACAGAGGCTTCGAGAAGGCAAGTAACATATTCCAGGTCACAGCTGGTAGAGAAAAGAGCTAGGATTCCAGTCTAGGACTCTCTGTCTCCAGGGAACATATTCTTTCCATAGCTCAATAGTCTTCAACCCTGGATGCCCTTGGCAATGACTGGGGAGATTTTGGAAATACATGCCCCATTCCCAGATATTCTGGATCGGGGCCTGGCATCGATATTTTTGAAAGCTCCCAAGCGATTCCTCATGGGCAGCCCAGCCAAGAACCCAGGCATAAGGCCATGATGCCTTTGGACCCAAGTTCTCCTGGGAAGTGTCTGGTTTTCACCAGAATTCGTCACCAGCAGATAGGGCTGGCTCAGCCTCTGTGCTTCCCAGGAGGGAATGGAGGGCTGGGGGCTCCTGGCATCGGCTCAGCTGACTGTGCCCCGGGCAGGTGGGGAAGGCAGCTGTTGAGCTGGGGTCACCTGGGAGATTCTGCAAGATTCCCATTGCCACCTCTGGCCTCACCGCTCAGCCGACTCTTGCCCCCAGTGTGAGTGGGGCTGTGCTGCCATTTTCCTGCCCTCCCTCCCTGCAGGCAGGAAATGCCCATCTGGGAGAACAGGGAGGGCTCTGCCTCTGCCCCCTGAAGGCCTCCTGGGACAGGAGAGCTTGGGGACACAGGGGCCAAGCAAGCACCTTCTCCTGCACCAGCTGTCCCGCTGGGAATTGTCACCAAAGAAGACTCTTAGGGCCCTCTGTGGCAAACTGGTTACATCCCGGGGGGGTTAATGGGAGAGTGGAGAGGGGGACCCTGGCATCAGACCAGAGGCCTTGAAGGGCAAAAGGCAGGTTGGGGTCCTCGTGAGGGTCCTGTGTCCTGGCTTCCACGGGCCTCAGGGCTGGGGGAACTTAGCCTGCTCTCTGGGGACTCCCCGGCCCCATCGGAGGGGCACCCCGGAGCCAGGGAGCCCGGGGCTGGGGGCTGCCAGCCTGTGGCTCCTCCTCCCTCCGCCTCGGCCAATTCCCCGCAAACCACCCGCTGCACTTGCCAATGGAGCCAGATGCTGCTTTGGGGAAAATACCTTCTGGAGTTTGTTGTCTGAGCCCTCCCAGCTGACACCCACGGTGGAGAAGACGTGTCAGGATAAATGGAAAAATCTCTTCATAAATATTTGAAAAAAGGCAAAAAGGAAAAGAAAAAAAAAAAAAGAACTAACCCCCAACTCCCAGCGTTTGGGAGCATCTTAGTGATTCCCGATAGCAGATGGAGGCAGCAGGTCGTTGACGGTCCTCAGTTTGCAGCGGGACCACAGCAAGAGCGCCTTCCCGCGGCTGCTCGGTCGCTGTGGCCGCCCGTGTGCCCAGGGGAGAGGACAGGCCTGCAGGGGCTGCTGACAGGGGAGCACACCCAGGTGCCGAGAGGGCCGGCAGGGGAGGGCGAGCTGCCCTTTATCCATAATGCATAATTGTGTCTTCAAACCCCGCTGCCTGGGGACCTTATTACAAGGGAAGCACAGGCCAAGGCGGCTTTGAGGGGAGCCCCTGGGAGGCGAGTAAAGAGGTCCCAGGGGCGTGGGGCGCTAACAGGATAGTGCGGGTGCCCGCACAATGGGGGGAGAGCCTTGGCTGAAGGCCCGGGGGGGTGTGGCACCCACTTCCTGGGGGGCTCAGGGCACTTCAAGGCAGGGGCGGCAGAGTCAGGGGTCCCAGGCCCCTCTTTCCTTTCTCGGGTCTGGTTATCAGAGAGACCCACCAGCCAGGGAGGGTGCCTTGGCCTTGCCCACAACAGCCCCGTTCCCGCCACGCTATCCCTGTGGGTCCCTGGACCAGAGCCACTGCTCCCAGCGCCAGGAGTACCTCCTCACACGCCTTTCTCTGCCTGTCCCCTGCAACGTCACTTGCCTCCCTCTGGGGCCTGTCCCTGCCCGTCTTGGATCAGGGCAGACAGACACTTCGCACTGGAGGGGGCATGGCTGGTAGGGCAGGGCCTGGGCTGGGCAGGGTTTCTAGAAGACAGAACCCCGGGGAGGGCCTCCTCGGGCAAGGAGAAGCCGGATTCCGCGTCAGTGTCTGTGGTTAACTTGGAAAGGCAGGTGTGTTCCGAGACCTTCCAAGGGCTCCATGTACCTGCAGAAGGTCCCCCCTTCTCTGGGCCTCTCTGCCCAGAGGGGGGCACACACCACCCTCCCCCTCTCCAGCAGCTGACCCCCTGTGGTGCCCGGAGGTGGCCTCCAGCACCGGTTGTCAAGTGCAGAGACTGTGCGCGCCGTGCGGTGTCTTTCCCCAAGCGCGGGGTGGGAAGTCACGGCGACCTTGACCAAGACATTTCCAGCAGCACGTGTTGACCTGCCTTCTCGATGCCGGAAACACTCACTGCTTCTGGAAGGAGTTAGGGGCAGCCAGGCAGGGGGCCTGAGAGAGGACAGGCCTGGGGGCCGTGCCGTGTGGCCTGGGCTCAGCCGTGACATTTACTCCTGTGTCTCCGTCTTGGCAGGGAGAGGCGGCAGAGTGCTTCAGCCACGAGGCGGGATCGATGTTCACCTTTGGAATGTTAAGTCTGCTTTTAACTGTGACTCAAGTTCGCTCCAGCTTATCGACTGTGAGTCACTGCTACCTGCAATGCTGTGCTCGGGACACACTTCTGAATGACCAACTTGCACACACGGATGGGGAATGCAAACAGCCCCAAAGAAGGCCGGTTGAAAAGCCAAGGGTTTGCTTTCTGACACAGCGTTTGAGTGACACTTGCCCTTACCTAGCCGGGCAATAACCGTCAGTGCTCGCTCGTTCGTTTTCTCAGTCGGTGCATGCAGCGGGTGGATTTGTGGATCCCAGAAGACATTCTGTGTGTGTTTTTTTTTTTTTTTTTTTTTGAGACAGAGTCTCACTTTGTTGTCCAGGCTAGAGTGAGTGCCATGGCGTCAGCCTAGCTCACAGCAACCTCAAACTCCTGGGCTCAAGCAATCCTCCTGCCTCAGCCTCCTGAGTAGCTGGGACTACAGGCATGTGCCACCATGCCCGGCTATTTTTTTTCTATATTGGTTGGCCAATTAATTTCTATTTATAGTAGAGACAGGGTCTCGCTCTTGCTCAGGCTGGTTTTGAACTCCTGACCTTTGAGCGATCCGCCCACCTCGGCTTCCCAGAGTGCTAGACATTTCTGTGTCCTAATGCCCGGAACGTGCGAATGTGGCCTTATTTAGAAAAAGCGTTTTTGAAGATGTAACCGAGTCAAGGATGGTGAGATGAGATCGTCCTGAAGTAGGGTGGGCTCTGGGTCCAGGGACAAGGGGAAGAGAGAGGACACACAGGGAGGTGGCCACAGGATGGCAGAGGCGGAGATGAGAGCGGTGCGTCTACAAGCCCAGGAACACCGAAGGCTGCCGGCAGCCACCAAAACTAGGAGGAAGGCACAGAATGGATTCTTCCTCAGAGCTTCTGGAAGGAACCAACCCTGTCTGCACCCCGATTTCAGACTTTTGACCTCCAGAACTGTGAGAAAATGAGTTTCTGTTGTTGTTCTGAGCCACCCAGTAATTTGTCATGGCAACCCCAGAAATTACCACAGCAGACACTTTAGGGCCCTCGGGTGCCAGGTCCTGGGGCCACCACCGAGGACGCAGCAGTGACCTGAGTGGATGTGACCCCAGGCGTCATGGAACTGCCCGTCCAGAGGGGTCCAAGGAGGAGGCAGGCACCACCGAGCCTACTCCCTGCTTTAAGCCCACTCCTTCTCCAGCGTCTCCGTCCCAGTGTGCCACACCACTGGCCCGTGGCTCGGGCCACAGACCCGCCAGGCACTGTCACACCATCTCCACGGCCGACCCACTGCCGAATGCTGCCGGTCTCACATCTGAGACACGTTGTGAACCTGCCCAGGTCTCCCTGCCTTCCTTCCTCCTCCTGCACAGGCCACCGTCCCTGCTCTGGATGACTGGAAAACCCCCCTCGAGCTCCGTCATCCTCCCCGTTCACGATCGCCACCTACATTCTCTCCAGCACGTCCTCCCCCCAGCAGCCAGAGGGATCTGTGCAAATGTCAATCATTTCACTCCTCTGCTGAACACGTCAGAGCTTCCTCCTGTGCTCCAAGAATCCAACATGAATGCCCACACCTCTGGCCTCGCCCCCATCTGGCCCCTGTCTGCCACTCTGCCCACACTCACTCAGCTTCCCTCTTCCCTGAGGAGCTGGCCACGCCGGCCACGCCGGCCACCTGCCCTTCCTCTGGGCCCCAAGCTCTTTTCCAGCTCAGAGCAGTCACAACGTGGTGCGTGCTCGCTCTCTCATTCTTCCTTCTGCTCTTGGGTCTCCACCCCTGGTTTCAACTTCAATCTCTTGGTCTTAACTGAAATGTCACCTTCCCAGAGAGGCTGTACGAGACCACTAGTCTGGAGTGTCCCTTTTTGCTTTTTTTACGTACCTCTCTTGATAGGTATTGTCCCCATACTTAATGTCAGGGTTTGCATGTTGGTGTGTTTAATGCCTGTCCTACTCCTTCAAGGTCAACTCCAAGAGGGCAGCAGCCACCTCTGTTTTTGTTCCATTCTGACGTTCCAGCACCTAACGCGTAGGGCCGGGCACATGGCGCTGCTTAGTAAGGATTTGATGAGTGAGAAAATAAATGAATATGTTTCCTGAGCCATATGGGGAGGAGAGGAGTAAAGAAGAACCAACACTTGTACGGCAAACTTCTCAGCTCCCGCCACCCTGCACGTTTAACATCTCACCGCGGCAGGCGTGGAAATGTAATTACTTTGTTTTTTTTCTCTCCTCTAAAAGCCTTGTTTCTAAAGTTTATTTCTTCCCACTGTTGAGTAAATGTGTGTATTAACCCTTAGGCAGCAGCAAAGGAAGGGTTTGCAGGCTTAATAAGAGAGCACTGCTTAAGTCAGACCCCCAGAAGGGAGAAGTTCCTATCAAACAGAACATCCGAGGGAAGTTAAAATGCACTTGCAGAAATAAATTGGTTGCTGTGGCAACCAGTCCTAGTTCTCCCCCAGAAGAAAAACATAGAAAAAGGAGTTGGGGTGGGGGCAGTCAGTGAGCTCTGGTCTGGGCTTAAGAGGAGCTGTCCAAATCGAATTATGGGACATTGTGCAATATCTCAGGTTACCAGCATAAAATGACATGTTGCATGCTCGCCTCGGTTTGGGCAATGGACTCTCTTACCAGGCCTGATTCACCATTTCCGCTGCCTTCCTGGCTGGCTCTCGTGGGCGGCGGGGTGTGTGACGCCCGCCAGACAATGCCGCCTGTCACTCTCAAAGTCGTGTGCCAGCTCCCACGTTGAAGGGCTCCCAGAAGGAAGCCTGCTCTTCAGAGAGACCCTGTGGTGGGTCCTTCTGTAATGAGTAATCAGCTTCTAACAGATCCTCCTTGTCAACCGGCATTTTCATCTATATATGGTTTTCAGAGTGGAATCCGCCCACTTGTGCTGGGAGAGTTCACGGAAGGTATCAGAGCGGGGCGGGGACCCTCAGGGGTGACGCTTGGAGGTGCATCTGGGGGTCGTGAGGAATGGCAGCCCCCTTACGGGGGAGGGAGGCAGCCCGGGGTGCCAGGTGCGGGGCAGAGGTGGGGCGTGTGCAGACGCCACCCACTGCCCGTCGGGGTCTCGGCGAGGCGCGGTGGTCCTGCTGGGCGAGCGGCCCGGCCTCAGCAGGTGTTCTCAGAGCAGAGCGTCCCTTGAGCAAGAGATGCCAAGGAAGCACCTCTAAGGGATCAGTCACCACTTTGGATGGTGGCAAAAAGATGCCGCAGAAATTGGCGGTTGGCCTGAGTGTGATCGCAGGGGCCGTTAAAGGCCGAAGAGGGAGGCAGAAGCGGAGGTGGGGGTGATGCGAAGTGAGAGGGACCTGACCCACTCTTGCTGGCTTTGGAGTGCAGGAAGGGGCCCCAGCCAGGGAATGCCGGCGGCCTCTCCCACGGAGCTGGGCAGGGCGAGCAGTCTCCAGAAAGGAACGTGCCCCTGCCGACGCTTGGTTTCAGCCCAGCGACACTGGCCTCCTGCATCGTACAACCGTCAGCTAACGGATGTGTGCTGCGAGCTCTGCATTTGTGGCAACTTATTGCAGCCCCCCGGGACACTGGTTCACCCTCTGAGTGTCAGGCCCTGCACCTGGCCTGGGGGACGCAGTCAAACGGGGTGCGGTTCCTGCCCTCCGCAGGGTCACAGGCCAGGTGGGGAGCAGGTGTGGGGCACTCGGGGTGGCTGCAGCTGTGGCGGAGGGCTGTGTTTTAGGAGGCTTCCCCTAGCCGACTTTTGAAGAACGGACTGGAAGGATCAGCCAGAGAAGGAGGGCCCGGGAAAAGCCGTCTGACACAGAGGGGACAGATGTGCCCAGGCCTTGCTATGACGCCGGCCGGGGCTGGCCGCGAGCTGAGCTGAGCAGCTTGACTCTCACCCCGAGAGCTGCAGGGGAGCCCCCGGAGGGCTTTGAGCAGGGGACTGACATGTTTTGATCAGCCTGACTGCGGAAATCAGCCAGAAGCAGAGCATGTCAAAAATAGAGCCACTTGGCTCACATGCAGGCTCACGGGGGCGCTGGGCTGCGAGGGGCCACGCCGTCTGGAAGCCCTCGAGGCGGTGGCACCCCAGGCTGCCCTCAAGAGGGTTCCACGTTCCCTTGCCCCTGTCTGGGTCTGAGTCCCCTGGGTATGGCTTGGCCTGCTTCAGAGAAATAGGCAGAGCGTGCAGCCTGGCCTGCTCCCCTCCCCTACACGTGCAAAGGCACCAGGGGAAAAAGGCAGATGGAAAATGAAGCCGCGGTCACAGGCGGAGCCCTGGGCCTGTCATCCTTTCATAATTAAATGGAAACTGTAAAAATTGATTATTTGAGGAATAATTTCCATTATTTTCTAATATGAAAAAGCAGGAACAAACGCTGTGATGGATTACGGAGCCAGAATGAAGAGAGGCGTTTAATTAATTTCACGAGCCAGCTGAAAAAGCCATCCCTGCAGAACTGGGGGCCAGGCCATTCTGCAGCCGGCTTTGCACAGCCCGTGACCCCCAGGTTGGGGTCCACCCTGGCAGGGAGCCCTTCCCCGCTGGGCGGAGGCCCGGGCGGCCTGCAGGGCAGGGGGCGTGGGCGGTGGCAGGTCGGACGCCTGGCGCTGCTGGGGGCTTGGCCCGGCTCTCAGGACGGCTCTGCTTCATGTCTGCACTTGTGTGACGGCGGGCTGGGCAGGCGGGAGGTCAGCGGAGGACCAGAATCTGGGCTCTGGAAGGTTGAGGTCACGTCCAGACACACAGCTAAGCCTCCTGTCCTCGGCCCAAGCCGAGGGACCCTCTCCAACAAACACACATGTACTCGGCTCTGTGGCCAAGGCAGACTAGAGCAGGTGGCCTTTGAGGAGGAACCCAAGTTTATTCCTCCTGCGACTGACCTCAGGGACCCCCTACTTCTGTAGGCCCCCACGGTTCTCTCTAGCTCTGATGGCTGGGCCCCGCCTTGCCACTCCTTTTCTAGTTTGCCTGGGTTCTTGGGTGATCACAACAATAATGACATTTTATTTAAAACCTGCCACGCCCCCAGGCACTATAGTGCTGTGCTCTGTAAACATTACCTTGTTGAATCTCCTCCACAACCACATTCTGTTCCCATTTTACAGGTGTGAAGCCTGAGGCTCAAGAGCTGAAGCCGTTTCCCCACCACCCTGTCTGTAGTTAGTGGCAGTGTCAGGATTCAAACCCAGGTCTTGGGCCTGTCAAACCCATCTCTCCCCCATGCCATGGGTCACTGCACCCCAGGGTCCTCACCAGACAAGTCTTTGGGGTGGGGTTGCTTGAACTGAAAGGGCAGGTTTCTGGCATGGTGTGGCCACTTTCAGAAGTGGCATTTCCTGGGTGCTTTCAGAGCCGGATGGTCCTGGACCAGACCCACCACTCACCTGGTTGCCAAAGTGAACGGCAACATGCAGACCACGGAAGGGCTGGCTCTCCTCCTGGCTTGGGAGGAGGGCCCTCCTTCCCTCCTCTCTCCATCTGGCACGAACATCTCTCCCCTGCACCCTCTAGCACTGGCCCAGAAAACATAAATTTTGCTTCTGCAGAAGCCCCTTTTCTTAAGCATTTGCCATCTACTGGGCGCCGAGTCAAAGGCCTGAGTACGTCTGCCTCCCGGAAGCTCCGAGCAAACAGGTGACTGTTCTATGGGACAGATGTGCAGGGGCTGAGGGATGCCAGAGAAGGGGTTCTTTCCCCAGTATGGAGAGGCAGGGATGCTTCCTTGAGGAGGGGACATTTACCCAAACCCCCAGAATGATGAGAAAAGCATAGAAGAGCCTCCGGGGCGAGGAACACGCACCTGCAGCCGCTAGCTTAGGGTGGGGGTGCGAGCAGCACTTGGGGCGCCCCGAATGGCTCCAAGGCGGGGGAAAAAGACCAAGACTAGAGGCGAGCCAAGAGCCAGGTTGCAAAGGAGGTGGCCTCTTTTCTGAAGATCCAGGGTGTGTCACTGCAGGAATATCAAAGCAGGGGCCTAGCAGGCTGAGCAAACCTCCTTTCAGAGGGACCAAGCGGCATGGCAGGGAGCAGAGATCAGAGGGCTGGGGACGCCGTGGGGGTGTGGGCAGGAGAAGGCGCTGGCCTGGGCGCCGGCGGGGGCGGCGGGAGTTGGGGAGACATTTGCACTCATTTGAGAGTGGCTTTGGAGTTTTTCTCAGACACAAGTTTCCATGAAAACTAAGCTAAAAAGGAAACAGAGGTGGGAAAGCAGCCATTTATATTCCCGTCCCCTTCCCGGTCGCCCCACCCCCAGCTCTCAGGACACAGTGGCCCCGTGCACGTCCACGGCCGTTCTTGGGCTTCCACGGATGCGCCTCGCGCCGTTGGACCAGCAACACCTTCCCGACACCTGTGCGATTCGTGGTCCCCGCACCTGGCGCTCGCCCGGGAGGCTGGCCTGGCCTCCACAGCCGCTGGCGTCTAATTGATTTAATGCATCAGCCAAGGAGCTGCCGTTTCCAGAAGGAAACCTAAGATTGCATCGACCCTGCAGCTCCAACAGTCCAAATGCACAACGAGGGTGGCGCTGGGGTCACAGGGACAGGCGCTGGGGTCACTCACCGCGCCCGCCTGCGTCTTCCTAGCATCTTCCGCATCTCTCCCTGCGGGTGGGGGCTGGACACGGAGGAGGGCAGCGAGCTGGGCTGGGGGCGCTTTACAGGGTGACAACGGCCACTTGTAAGAAAGCAGGTTTCCTCTCCACCCCCACCCCGCCCCCACCCGGCGGGGCGAAGATAATGAATGTTCTATGAGCAGCTCCCGTCTGAAGGGAACGAATTGATTCCAATTTTCATTTTACCAGGTCCCATAATTCTTTATTATGCCTTCCTTTACGACTTGGGAGGCTTTGGTGCCGAGCTGCTGTGTAACAGGAGGGCTGTGTGATCCACACGATAATCATTTATTCACCAGCAGGACAAATGCGCCTTGTGTCATCCGGAGGCTGCACGGCTCTCGCCCGTCGCCCCGGCTTTCCCGTGGGAGACAGGTGTGTCCGTCTCAGAGCTGCGGGCAAAGCCGTCTTCCCCTCCGAGAAGAAAGACGGGAGCAGGAAGCCTCCGAGGAGTTTCAGAGACGGACCCGAAATCACAGCCACCTGTCCCCGGGCATTGCAAGACAAATGGAGCGTTTCTGGGGAAATCACGCTGCAAGATGGTTCCCCGGGTGGCAGGTGGCTCGAGACAAAATTTATCGAAGGAGAAGGGACCCAGCTACGTGTACTGCACGTGGGCTGGGTGTTCTCCTCCCCAGGGCTGGCTGGGCAGAGTTCCAGAAAGCGGGGTTATTAGGCAGGTTTTCAAAGACTTAGGTCATTGCTGTTCTCTCCTCCCTGCAAGACACAAAAAGCAGCTCCTCCCTGCAGCCGGCTTCTCGGGCTCCTGAATGCACGGCCTCATTCATTCACTCACTCATTCACTCTCTTACTCCGCACGCATTTGTCAAGTCCCCGCCGTGTGTCAGGCGCCGGGGATATGGAGATGAATAACTCTCGCGGCCTGTTGTCAAGGAGCTGACTGTCTGGGAAGGGGGGAAGGAGAAAGCGAGCGAGGGCACGGGCAGCGGAGCGTGGTGCCAGGGAGGAGAGAGCCAGCCGCAGGGGAGGGCAGGGCGCGCCGGGGTCTGCAAGGCTCGGAGCTGGGGGCGGCCAGAGCATTCACCGGGGAGGGATAGAGTTTGTCACCGAGGCTGGTGGTGTGAGGCTGGCAGGGGACTTCAGGGAACTATCAGCAGCCTGCGTGGCTGGAGTGGAAGTTCAGGAGGCATGGCTGGCGGTCGGCGAGCCCAGTCACGAGGGCCGTGCCTGCCTCGCTAAGCAGCTTAGGTTTCCTTCTGAAGACAAGGGGGGAGCCAGAGCAAGTTTTTAAGCCAAAAAGAAACACTAGCCAATGTGCAATGTATGCATTTTAGAAAGAGTCCTCTGGCTGCAGTGGGGAGGGACCCTGAAGGGGGAGATTGATTAGGGATGAGTGACAGCCTGACTTAGGATGTGGGCAGTCGTGATGCCGAGGAGGGGAGGAGGGGCGAGACCAAGGAGATCAAAGTCTCCAGGACTTCCATAACTTATAAGACATGGAGGGTGAGGGAAGAGCAGGCAGTAAATTTTACTCTTGGGATCCTGGCTTGGGGAGCTGGGTAGGTGATTTTGTTTTAGGAATGCTTTCAGCTGTCAGAGATACAATAGAAACCCAGCAGAGACTTAAGCAATAAAGGCATTTAATTATTTCACATATTGAGAAGCCTGGAAGTAAAACTTCTAGGGCTAGTTTAACATCTCAATGGGGTCTTTCTTTCTTTCTGCTTTTCTACCACCCTTAATGGAGCAGGTTTTAACCTCATGGTGACAAGACGGCTGCCGCAGCTCCAGACATTTTCATGACATTCAAGGCAAGAAGAAGGGGAAAGAGGTGGCCTCAGCCATGTCTGCTACCTGCAATCAAGAAACACAAACTTTAGCAGATGATTTTGTGAGTTTAAAAAAAAAAAAGAAAAAGAAAAAGAAACACAAACTTTGACCTCCAACACACAAGGTCACAGCCACCCATTATTTTGTTGGAAATGTCCCTGCAGGGGAATTACTTGACCACTGTTGGCATACATAGGACCTACTGTATGTTGGACACTGTGTTTGCTGCTGGCCTCAACCCTCAAGGAACTCACAATTAAGTAGAATCCTTCAAGACAGAGCTGTGTTTTTTTTGGAGATAAGGGAAAACCCAACACCATGGCCAGTGCTGGCGGGACAGCCAGCAGCTCAAAGCTCTGGGCAGCAGCCAGGTCCCGTTCCCTTAGGTGTGTTCATCATGTTGGTGGGACTGGACAGTGTTTCTGGACTTCCATCACGCCTCCCTAGGCCGTGGGTTTCTGCAAGCTTTGCCCTGTGGTGTCCGTTCCCCTGTCTGCAGGCAGCAGCCTCACCCCTCGAGGACCTCCTGTCCCCTGGGCACCACCTGGCAGGTGTTGACCAGGCGCCCTTCCTCCCACTGACCCAGAAGAGGGGGCCCCGGAGGCTGATGTGACTCTGTGGATCCCTCTTGGTGCTGGTTCCCTGAGAAGGTGTCCAGCGGTGCCCACGGCCCTGATCTGGGACCCCCGTCTGGTCCCGTCCCGTCCCCTCTCATTTGGGGAGCTCTCCCCCGCCCACCGCCATCCTATAAACCTCTTTCCACGCAGCAGAGCCAGAGCTGCAAGTCTGCTTCGTGCAACCAAAATAGCCTAACTGATGTACACAGGCTGACTAATTCCAGAGCTGGAGGGCAACGTAAGGACCATTTGATGCAACGCTTTTATCCTGTAGCTGAACAAATTGAGGCCCAAGAGTAAATTGAATCTGGAGAGTGGACGTGGCGACAGGCGGTGGCTGAGCTCTTTCTCTGCGTCAGCCGTTCCAGGACGCCGCAGCCTGACGGGAGGGTAGGCAGCCCCGTCAGAGGGACAGGCGACCAGAGCACTTTCTCAGACCCGCACTGGTTCCGAGTGGCAGCCCCAGCGTCTGAACACAGGCGCTCTGGTTCCAGAGCCCGGGCTGTCCCCTGTGGGGCTCTTCTCCTTCCTGTGGCTAACCTGGGGGCAGCTATGGGCAAAGAGTGGAGCCAGCGGGGCGCCAGGGTCCTGCTCCGGCTGTGGCCCAGCTCTCCATCCAGTCTGCAGCCAACAGGTTCAGATCAGACTCCCCTGTTTCTTCCCTCCTGCCCTTGCTGCCTGTTTTCTGTGGGCCTGGCGGGGTCCCCTACTCTGCTGTTTTGAACCCGTTCCTTGAAAGCCTCTTGGGCAGCCAGGGCATCCACATGTCTAAGGCCTGTCACTCGGGTCTCCTCTGCCACCATCCCAAGGACACCTTGCCCGTGAGCAGGGAGACCCAGGCCTGGGAACACAGGGGCCGAGCCTCACAGCGGCCTCTCGAGACAATCAGGGAGCCTTGGCCGAAGCAGTGGCCTGGGTGCTGCCCTCTGGGGCACCCTGTGCCCCCCCCCCCCCAACATGCCCCCGACCCCAGGGAGTGCCACTGGGGAGGGCCCACTGAGCAGGTCCATGGCAAATGCTCAGCGGCGAAGATTCACTGACCACTGGCCTGTGCACGTCCTGTACGAGAGGGGGCCTCACCCCAGCCGCAGGGGCCTGTGCGACACCCTGCACCCCCTTCCTCTCCAGGGAGCCCCTCTCTCCCGCCCTCGAAGGGAGCCCCGCCCTCCTTGCTCTCTCCCTGTCTGTTCCCTAAAAACCCCAGCTCAGTGGCCTCACCGGAATGACCACCAAGAGGAGGCGTTCTCCTCTTCCCTTGTTGGCATTTCTAGAAGGCGAGGGAGGGACCAGCCCCCTTGTGGGGCTCCCGGTCCAGCCTGTCTCCCCAGCCCCGACAGCTGAGCCATAGGCCCTCCCCAGGGCAGCCGTGACCTCTCTCGGGGACAGCGACGCAGCCCGCAACGGGGAGATGATGAGTCCCCCATTGGCAGGACATGGAGACCGCACGGTGAGGAATGGACCCCAGGCTTTCGTGTCACGGGGCGTTTCACTTTCCAAGTGCCATCGCGAATCTGCACGCGGCGTGTTCGGTGCCTGCCAAGGCGGAGCGGGAGAGCCGAGGGCCAGTGCTCTGAGAGTCCCCTCCGCGCCCCTCCGCTCGCGCATGCGCAGGGCGAGAGGCCGGTGCGTGGTCCATGCACAAGGCAGGTCTCGCCTCCGCCGGCGCCGAGCGGGGCCGACGGGCATTAAACAGGCAGTGACAGGTAGGGGCAGTGAGCGTCCTCGTCACAGAGCAGGCAGCCGGGAGCTTCTGGAAGCCCAGGAGAGCTTCCCTGGGGGTGGGGGGGGAGGGGACTTTGCAGCTGACACCTGGGGCCATCCGTGTGGTTTAGCAGGTCCAGGTGGGCGGGGCAGAGAGAGAACACCCAGGCAGAGCGCGGGTCACCTGATGGAGCCAGCAGAGATCAGAATGGCTAAAACGGGAGCTCAAGGGGAGGACCGTGGATGCCATTGGACATCAATTGGACGCCTGCTGTGTTCTAGGTGCGGTGGGGGAGGGGAGGCCAGGCTGGCCGGGTTGGAGAGGGCTGGTGAGAGTCGGGGCCCCAGTTCTGCTGAGAGCAATGGAGCCATCGACATACTTTAAACAAAGGAGTAACAGGGCACGCTCTCACCTCAGGGAGGTCCTTCTGTGTCGACAGGGCAAGGCTGGCGGCTGGGAGGCTGTTGTCATATCGCACATGAGACACGGAGATGTTTTGGACCAAAGCAGCCGCGAGAAAATGGAGAGAAACAGCTGATTCACAAGACATCCAGGAAGTAGAATCAATGAGTGGCCAGGGGGGAGGGAGAAGCTTTAAATAAAAAGTTGCCTCCTTGCCTTGGTGCCAGGGCCCCCCCTGGTCTGAGTGACGCAAGAATGACCCTTCCGAATGAAAGGGAGCGGTGGCTGAGGACAGCAGTGCCCTGGGCTCCACACCCCTTAGCGGGGCCCTCACGCCAGCCCCCAGTGTCCTTTCCAGAAGCTGAGCCGCTCAGGGACCTGTGAGCACAAGGCCACCGCTGGCAGCTGAGTCCGACGTCCCTCGTGGATGTCCTTGGTCCTGCGCTTACCTGGCAGCATCTCACCAATGCAACAGGAAGGACTGGTCTGTAACAAAAGCACAGACGTCACGGCGAGATGCCGCCTTGCACCCACGAGCAGGGCTACTGTAAAAAAGCAACAACAGAAAGTGACGTGGTGTTGGTGAGGCTGTCCTGAAATTGGGAGCCTTGTGCCCTGTTGGTGGGAACGTAATGGCGCAGCCGCTGTGGAAAACGGTCCAGCAGCTCCTCAAAAACTTAAGCATGCGCCCGGCGCAGTGGCTCACGCCTGTAATCCTAGCACTCTGGGAGGCCGAGGCGGGTGGATTGCTTGAGGTCAGGAGTTCAAAACCAGCCTGAGCAAGAGCGAGACCCCGTCTCTACTATAAATAGAAAGAAATTAATTGGCCAACTAATATATGTAGAAAAAATTAGCCGGGCATGGTGGTGCATGCCTGTAGTCCCAGCTACTTGGGAGGCTGAGGCAGTAGGATTGCTTGAGCCCAGGAGTTTGAGGTTGCTGTGAGCTAGGCTGACGCCATGGCACTCACTCTAGCCTGGGCAACAAAGCGAGACTCTGTCTCAAAAAAAAAAAAAAACAAAAAAAACAAAAAAAAACGTAAGCATGGAATTACCATAGGACCCAGCAACTCCACTGCTGGGTATAATATGTACCCAAGGGAATTGCAAGCAGGGGCTCAGACAGGTATGTGCACAGCCACGGCCGTAGCAGCATTACTCACAGCAGCCAATGGGAGGAAGCGACCAAGTGTCCCCCCTGACGGATGAGTGGGTGGACACGCCGTGGCACGCACGTATGATGGAATGTTACCTGCTTGAGAAAGGCAGGGATTTCTGACACCTGCTATAACATGGATGTCCCTTGAGGACATTGTGCTAAGTGAAACAAACCAGCCACAACAGGACAACTGTTGTATGATTGCACTTACATCATGCTTAGAGTGGTCAAATTCTTAGAGACGGAAAGGAGAAGGGCAATTGCCAGGGGCTAGGGGGAGGAGAGATTTGGGGGGCTGTTGTCTATGGGCACAGAGTTTCAGTTTTATGAGACAAGGAGGGCTCTGGAGGCGTTTGGTGGTGGTGGCTGGGCAACCATGTGAAGGTACGTAATGCCACAGAACCGTAAGTCTAACGGTGGTTAAAACGGTAAACCCTACATTATGTGTATTTTACCATAATTAAAAAAAACCATAAGTGTACAAAAAGATTGTGGGAGGGGAAAAAAGTACAGTCTCCCAGTTTTGATACTGTAGCACCATCATGTGAGATTTTGCCATTGGGGGTAGCTGGATGAAGGGTATCCAGGACATCTCTGTACTATTTCTGCAACTTCTTCTTCTAAGTCTTTATTTAAAAATTAAAAGGCAAGAAAAAGGAAGAGGAACCACAGAAAGGTGAGGAGCAGCCATCTGCCCTGCCTCCCCATCCTGCCTTTGGGCTCGTTCCTGCCCCATCATCCCTCCAGGAAAAACGTGTCAGTTTCCTATTTATCCGTCCAAAATTTATTTTTTCGTATACAAATCAATGCAAATAGAGATGATTGTCTTCCTCTCATTTCCATACAAACGTAGAATATTCATACACTCTCTGCCCTTTGTTTTTTCCACTTACTGAATCCTAGAAATCCTTCCATTTCAATACACAGAGAGCTTCCCGGTTATTTTACAACATACTTGCACATACTTCCAGGGTCTGGGATTGACTTATCCAGACCCCTTCGGGTGGACATCTAGATCCCTTTGCTGTCCCGAACAGCCCTGCCTGGCACGCCCTCGCACAGGTGCCCTGCTTCGCCTTCCCAGCAGCGTGGGGTCGCCGGCTCTTTCGCCAGCACACCTCACGGTGG